CCTGCCGCGGCGGCGGCGATTCAGCAACAGATGATGGGAGCTATGGCGCAGCTTCCTAGGCATTATGGGTCTCGATATTTTCCTTACCTTCCGATGCCAACTCCTGTACCGCCGGTATATGGCCAGTACGCTCCGCCGATCGTGGCTGTTGGTGGATTGGGGGCTCATTCAGGGGAAGAGAACACGACGATCTGGGTCGGAGATCTCCATTACTGGATGGATGAGAACTACCTCTATGGCTGCTTCGGCCATACCGGCGAGGTAAGAGATTCTCGTTTCGGTTTCATCGTTCTTCGTCTAATTTTGCTTGCGACTTTGTTGGTTCTGATTTCTGAAGCAGGCATTTGTTTTTTGTTTTTTCTTTTCTTTTTGTTTGTTTGTTTTTCTTATGAAGTTAGACATGGTGTAAGGAATGATGATGCTAGTTAGGCTGAGAAAATTTAATGGAAACAATGTAGTGGCTGGTCAAATTTTGTAAATTTGTTTAGGTAAAAAGTAATGGTTCTCAAGATTCATGTGATTTACCATTTTAAGACATTGTGGGGAAATAATTTAGATTTTTGAATGAAGATTATTGCACGGGACTCGTCTGTATGTTATACTATGCTGGCATGTTTGTTTTGATTAGAATTTAATTGATTTGTAGATTTCATCCAACCATTTTGAAAAGCTAGGCACAATACGATGTGTTCTCTTTTATTTTTATTTTGTGTCAATGCACTTAGCACAAAATGAAATGGTTGTTTTACTAGTTGGATTATTGTAGTTTGTTTATCGTTTATGCATATATTATGTGAATATGATAGTTATTTAGTTAAACAAATTTAAATCACATCGAGTAATAAATTTCAGTAAGTTTAATGATACATTCAATTATTTTACTTTAATGCTCTATTCAAAAGGCAATAGAAGGAATCAAAGATATAAATAAAATTTTGTAAGAATACTTGAAAAGATTAAGAATATTCATAAAATTGAGTTTCTAATAAGCGATCAAGGCGTTTAAGCAGTATTAAGTAAGAGAGATTGAAGAAGAGGGATTCAGAAGAATTCTTGAGAAGAAGTTTGTGAGCTAGAAGCAGCCAATGCCAGCACTAATAATTAGTGAGAAATTAACACATAAGAAAACTACCAAGCAAGAGAGCTTGAAGAGAAGAACCACCAATAAGCAAATAGTTTTATTGGGAGAGAACAAAGAATTAATGAGTAGCTGACACAGTAAATACATTCAATAATAAGCATAAACAATTTTTTTGGGTTGTTATTGCAAAAGATGTTGAATTGAACCATATAATCTAAACTAAATTTTTCTAATGATATAGAGCTGAATGCGCAACACTTCAAGGAGAAGTGGTGCGATATGGGCAATTTGTTGTGACCTTGTTCTAGAGCGATGTGCAGGGGAAGTGCATCGCTTTACTTTGCTTCTAAACCACACGTTTAATGAAATTGATTTCATCACATGTAATCTCTATTTTTCGGTTGCTTATGTTTGAAGTTTGCATTAAAGAATTCAACAAAAAGCTATTCCTTTTTCCAAAATAAAAGGAAAGAAGAGGAAAATTGAATATTAGGACAATTTTCACTTCCAAATTGCTTCTTTGAATGTTTAGAACACATGTCAGATATGAATATGTATTTAACATGCTCTAACACTTATGGGACACATTAGGACACGAAACATACATTTTTTGTCATAGTGGGATAATATTCCGTACTTAAACTCATGGGCCACATGAAATAAAAAATATAGGAGCTACTCTAACCTGATACATTTAGGATCTTCTCTTTCGAAGCCAATATATGAAGATGAAGAAAAAGCCACAATATGATGAAGATGAATCTCTCGTGTCAAAGCTAGTATACAAATACAGCTGAAGACGAAAACACGTCCCCCCAACTTCACGTTGCATCTTGCCTTATCTTCTAAACCAAGACACGAAACTAAAGATAGAGTACATCCCCACCTCACATCACATTTCACCCTTTGCTTCGAAGCCGAAAGCACATCCCCACCTTCAAACTCAAAGCCAAAGCTATTTTCCTCACATATAACTAACCAAAGCTGATGATGTATAGTCAAAGTTGAAATTAAATTGTCGGGATTTCTTTCTTTTTGGTTGATTTGTCTTGAAAAAATTAAAATATTTTGTCTATTTATTCTATTTATAGTTTTAACAAATCTTTACCCTAAATCTCTAGGTGGCCATCTCCTCCTCTACCCCTATTCTTTGAAGCCAAATGTAATAAAATGCGTATGATGTTGATTTGTTATGGTGATTCTAAAAATTTACTTTGCTTTTGTTTTGTTCTTAAGCTTATAAGCTAACTCAATTAATTACAAATAGGTATCTACCATCATTTGGCTTAACAATTTTAGTCAATAATAGTTATAGACTATAGCTCTTTAATCTTATTATTTGCATCCTCAATAAATTCTTAAAGTTTTTTTAGTTTTTTTAGTAGGATTATATCTACTCATATGTGCACTAATTTGGTTGTAAATAACTCATATTGTATGACACAAAATTTTATGATACATGTTATCAAATTAGATGAAAAAGGAGTGATTGAAGCCGAGGGCGATGAATAATTTAATTGTTATATTTTGTCAGCGAAAGATCAAAGGAACATATTTTAGGGTTATAGCTCAATTTGTTAGAAAGTTTAGGTAGACATTCTATCATACATTCTTAGCTAAGTGAAGCTTAAAATCATATTGTTCCATTTAAAATTATGAAGATATTAAATATAACAACAACAACAAGCCTTTATCCCACTAAGTGGGGTCAACTACATGAATTCTTTTTATCCATTGTGTCCTATTAAGTGTCATATTTTCATTTAATTCTAATAATTTATGATCATTTTTTATACAACACGCCCAAGTTTTTTTTATGTCTTTCTCTAACTTCATTAACACAAGTCAAATCAAAAGCATCTATACTCTTAGCCGGATAATCAGATGGTTTGCATTTAATGTGATCAAACCATCTAAGTCAACTATCTAATTTTGTCTGCCATTGGAGCTACACCAACCCTTTCATGGATATATTAGTTTCGCATTTCGTCCCTAACTGTCAAGCCGCTCATCCACTTAAGCATTCTCATTTTAGAAACACTTAAGTTAGTTTTATGCTTGTCTTTTATAGGACTACATTCTGTGCCTATAACATTGCAAGTATCACCACCATCTTATAAAATTTTTCTTTTAAGTATAAGTGATATTTTTTTATCACACAATAAACCTGATGCATTCCTCCACTTCAACCATCCAACATGAATTCTACTAATAACATCCTCATCTATATCACCATCACTTTGAACAATATACTCGAGATATCTAAAACATTCACACCTTTTAGTGATTTCTCGTCCATTGTTATAACTCTACCACTAAATCTATAACTACTAACTTTACATTCTATGTTCAGTTTTAGATCTACTCAAATGAAGGCCTTTATACTCTAATATAGACCGCCATAATTCAATTTTTTTACTGAGGTCTTTCTTTAGGGTCCGTTTGGTGCTGCTTATTTGGTGCGGTGACGTTTTGAAAACGCACCTGACCTGTTTGGGTAAACTGCGTTTTGGTAGCTTATGCGTTTTTAAAAAGCTAAAAACAGTGTTTTAACACCGCACCTATTTAGGTACTGTGGAAGCTTTCTGGCTGCGGTCTGACTTTTCCAAAAAAATAAAAATTTGTAATAGCTACCAAGCTACCGCACCTAGCTTATCAGCAGATTATTTTTAATCAGCTTATCAGCAGATTATTCAATAAGCTGCAGCCGCCCCAAACAGACCCTTAGTCTTATCCACTAGAAGGATGTCATCAGGAAAAGCTTATGCCAAGGTACATCCTGCTGTAAATATCTAGGAATAGCATCCATAACTAAAGCAAAAAGATAAGGGTTGAAAGTTGATCTTTGATGTAATCCAAGTGAAATAGAAAAATATTTGTTGAATTCTCGTTTTATTCGAACACAAATAACAGCTCTAGGATACATATCTTTAATGACTTGAATATAAATCATATCAACGTCTTTTTTCTTTTGAACTCTCCAAAGAACTTTTTTTGGAACTTTATCATAAGCTTTTTTTAAATCAATAAAAATTTTATGTAGATCATTCTTACTCTCTCTGTACTTCTCCATCAAACCTCTCAATAAATGTATAGCTTCCATAGTAGACTTGCCCAACATAAATCTATACTGATTATGAGAAACATTTGTATCACGTCTTAACCTATGTTCAATTACTCTCTCATAAATCTATACTTGATTCCTCTATAATTTGCAATTCCTCTATAATTTCCTCTATAATTTGCACACTATTGTGCATCCATTTTATTTTTAAAAATGGGATCAAAATACTCTTCCTCCACTCCTCATACATCCTTTTAGTTTTTTTTTTTAAATTGAGATATCAAATAAGAGGAATAATATTTGAAGAGGAATTTTTTAAATAGTAAAGAGGATTCCAACCATTTGGATTTAGTGTTGCTTTTTTTAATCATGACTGTAGCTTCTTAAGGCATTATGGATGAAAGATTGGCAGATGATTTACAAGCTAGTTTCTCACAGCTTCAAATTTATTTATTTTTTAAATTATGGATCAATCATATTCATTCAAAAAAAAAAAAAAAAAAAAAAAATTAAAGCATGTAGTCTTTTATCAATTCAGTTAAGAGGAATAAGATCACTTCTGAACAAGATAAATATTTAGTTTTTGTGCATACTAATCTTTGTCTTTTGTCTAGTTGAAGCTCAAAATACACTCAAAAGTAGGTTAGTTTATGGGATACTAGAGAGATATATTAAAAACAATAGATGATATTAGAATACTTTAAGTTGCTAGTCTCTCTCTATCTGAATATGCCATATCTGAAGATTGTGTTTTTTCTATATAGAGGTGAATGTGTTGCTGGAGTGGATGTGAGACCTCACACTAATGATCACCTTAACATTAACTATGATAACTCTCATTAGTTATGCTCTTGTATTTATATTTTATTTGAATATTTTGAAGATGACAATGTTTTTTATTTTTTTTGTTAGAGATTTTAGACTTTTTGGAAGTTATATTGATTCTAGTAAAGCATATGACAACTAAAATTGATTAATGAATGCTTGCGTGATAAAGCTTTTTTTTTTGTTATTAATCATGTTTGATTTTTTTTATCATTATAAACTTTTTTTTATGATATTATATTTCATCCTTTGATATTTAGTAGAGAATAGTAAAAAAAATCTATATTTATA